GGTGGCCTGAGCTCACAGGTTCGAGACCAACCTAACCCAGAGCAAGACCCCATCTCTAAAAATAACTGAGTGTTGTGAGGCGTCTGTAGTCCCAGCTACTTGGGAGGCTCAGACAAGAGAATTGCTTGAGCCCAAGAGTTTGAGGTTGCTGTGAGCTATGACACCATGGCACTCTACTGAGGGCAACAAAGTGAGACTCTGTCTCAAAAAAAAAAAATTAAAAAACTGAAAGGCTAGGATGTATGTACTTGTTTAAGATGTCAACAATGAAAAGATCAGGAAAACTAGGAATAGAACAAACCTCCATGTGCGTTCAGCACCATAGGTGATAAGAGCCCCCCAAGCTGCTTTTGCTCTATAATCAATCAGAGACGCCTATGAGATACTGCAGGACAAGTGAACACTTCCTAAAAGAGAAAAAACTGACTTAAAGGTCACCAGAACTTAAATAAAACCAAGTTACCATGCATTGCATTAGTTAAGTAACAGTTTACAGGGGTGCTTAAATGGCATAAGCAGTGGGACAGAACTGATACGCCTTTAAAAAGTAAAAAAGCAAACCAAAAAGCAAGACCCTAAAAACTTCAGGGTAGCCAGGTGTGGTGACTCTCATCTGTAGTCCTAGAATTTGGGAGGCTGAGGCAGGTGGATTTCTTTAGGTCAGGAGTTGGAGACCAGCCTGAGCAAGAGCAAGAACAAGACCCTCCCACCCCATCTCTACTAAAAATGGAAAAACACTAGCCAGGTGTTGTGGCAGGCACCTGTAGTACCAGCTGCTCAGGAAGCTGAGGCAAGAGGATCTCTTGGATCCAAGACTTTGAGGTTGCTGTGAGCTGTGACGTCAGGGCACTCTAGCCAGCAGAACAGAGTGAGACTCTGTCTCACAAAACAAAACAACAACAAAAAAAAACTTCAGGATAACCAGACTGACATCGAACAACATAACAGAGAGGGAACCTAGACGCTAAGAGCTTATTTATGCAAGTAACAAGCCAAATCCATCCAGTAACCACGCCATCCTGAGAAACTTCTTCAGGGATACCAGCAGCATCCCAAAGCCTGAGGATGTCAGTGTTAGAGGCAGCTCATTCCTTTAACACAGCGGTTCTCAACCTGTGGGTCGTGACCCCTTTGTAACAATGAAAATACATTGCAGCATTAGGAAGGTGGAGAACCACTGCTTTAGCAAACACCGGCCCATTCTGCACCAAGTCAGAAATGTGACCAAGCCGCACACTCTGGGCAAATTATTTCTGAAATTAGGTTTTCAACCTTTCCCTTAGGAATTGTTTTTAAACAACCATCAAACCAGAAAATGTTTCCATGCTTTATCAGGGGAATAAAAAAGGCACATTAAAGGTGGAATTTTAATGAAAAGATAATGAAAGAAGAATGAAAAATTAGGCTGATTAGTTTAACCTCTAACATTGAGCACCCTGGGCGACACAGTAGAATCATTACCTGGAGAGCTTCAGAACTTTCTAACGCTCTGCCCGTTCCTGAACAATTACATCAGAAAATCGAGGGTGGGACCCCGGGATCAGTACTTTTTAAAGCTCCCCCAGGTGATTCCAATGCACAGACCAGTTAGATATCCTCTGCTTTATTAGGAGTCAGTATAAATTTTGAATATCGAATACTTTTAATTAAAGCAGGATAAACTCGGCTTCTTAGGAATACAATACTCTCGAATGTTACCCAAAGAAGACAGAACTCTGTCATTTTAATAATTTGTAATTTGTCTTTTTAAATCCAGTGACCCCAATTTGACTTTTCTCTCTTCTCCAGATATTTCCAAAGCAGAAAGCAATTACCTGTTAAATTCAGGTATTTTTCCTCAGTGCTTATGGTGAACATGAGGTACAAACAGAGAATGAAAACTCTCATAACTCTCTTCCCTAATTCTCTACCCTCCTTGGTTGGGAGAGAGAGAAAGAGAGAGAGAGAGAGGTAACTCCTCTTAAATGTTTCAAAACAAAATGAATCTTTGGATAAACAACCATGAAACTCAATGAACTATTTCCTTTATTTTTCAATAGTCACAGACTCAGGGTCCCTCATGGAAACAGCCGCATAGTTTTGACTCTGCCGAATCACTCATTGAAGTTACATCACAGGAGGCTGCGGTGCCCTGTGGGAGTTCTGAGTAGCATGTACTGGCCATTTGGGCACCTGCCTGCTGAGCTGTGGACTGGCAGCTTTTTTCCAGCAGTAAACTCTTCCTAATTATATAGCATCATGACAATTTACCCAGCCTAATTGAAAGAGAGGTTTTCCAACTCTGATTGAGAACACTCAATAAACAATCATGAAAAAGACAGCTTTAATTGTCCTGAGGCTTGAAATTTCTCCCAAGGAAAATATCAGGGGCTGTGGCTAGATGACGGGATTTCTAAGAAAAGGGTAATTCTCTCTGCCATGGAAGGGATACAATCTTTAAAGCAGATGTGAAAATAAGCATCAGAAACCTTCCAGCCCTCAGATATTATTTGGTCTCTTCCTGTAGAAGACATTCTGATACTACAGGGAATGAAATCAGTTGCCTAGTGGAAATACTAACTCATTCTAATCAGAAAGGTAGTTGTTTGACTCTCAGGTAATGGTGGTATATTTGTGTCTCAATACAAAATGATATGGGAATGCTATTCAACAATCAAATGAAGGAAGTACTCATATACAACACAACAGGGATAAACTTCCAAAACACTTCTCAGGCCAGGCACCGTGGCTCACACCTGTAATCCTAGCACTCTGGGAGGTGGAGGTGAGTGGATTGCTTGAGCTCAGGAGTTCCAGATTAGCCTGCGCAAGAGTGAGACCCTGTCTCTACTAAAAAAAAGTAAAATCAGCTGGGTGGTGTGGCAGGCATCTGTAGTCCCAGCTACTTGGGAGGCTGAGGCAAGAGGATCTCTTGAGTCTGCGAGTTTGAGGTTGCCGTGAGCTATAAAGTCACAGCACTCTACCCTAAGTCGCAGAGTGAGACTGTCTCAAACAAACAACAAAAAACTTCTCATTATCCTCAGTGAAAGAAGCTCCATAGCACATAATTCCATTTATATGAAATGTCCATAAAGGAAACTTTACAGAGACAATAAGTAGATGAGTAGTTACCTAGTACTAGGGATGGGAAAAAAGGAACCAGCTGATAATGGCCCAAAGTGATCATTTGGGGGACAATGGAAATGTTCTAAAATTGGATTGCGGTGATGGTTGTTCAAATCCGTTAATTTATTAAGAATCATTGAATTCTACACTTAAAATAGATGGATTTTATGATATTTAAATTATAACTAAACCTGTTTGAAAAAAATGATATTGCAGCAGGAAATGAATTAGCAAAGGCTGGGCGTGTTGGCTGACGCCTGTAATCCGGCTCTCCGAGAGGCCCAGACTTGAGCGGAGGAGTCTGAGCAAGAGCAAGACCCCGTCTCTAAAAATAGCCCGGTACCCGTGGGCGCCTGTAGTGCCAGCTACTCTGGATCGCTTGAGCCCGAGAGTTTGAGGTTGCTGTGAGCTGTGATGCCACGGCAGTCTACCAAGGGTGACAGGGTGAGACTCTGTCTAAAAAAAAGAAAAAAAAAATTAGCGTCTAAGTCTGGGGGTGGTTTCTCAGGGGCCATGCAGGTCGTCTGTCACTAACACTCCGCGTGAATTCCTCTTTCTCCAGTGCCACCTGTACAAAGTTATCAGGGTAGGGTCGAGGGGAGAACACCACCAAATCTGAGATTGTGTGCAGTCACAACAGACACCAAGTCTGGGAATTTGGAAAGGCAATGGGGCACAAATTCTTCCTGATTTAAAAAAGAAGCAAGGGCAAAGTCACTGCTGTCCCAGGGTCTGCGCACCTCATAAGCGCGGCCCCACGCATTACCGCAATCCGAGACCATCGCGGAAAATCCGACTCCAGCAGAAACTAAGTCGGGAGGTAGAATCCTTAGGTGCGAAGAAGAACCAGTCAGGGTTTCCAACAAATACAGGGCATGCGTTCACTAAATCGGGCTGCTTTAGAAGCAGAGACTCTTTCAATGAGAACACGTGGGTGGGGAGGTCTGTTCTCAGGCCACGCGGACCTGGGGGCTCTCTGGGCCCCAGGCCTCTAGGCGGGGAGGCGGTCCAGGCCCCTGCTGTCCAGGCGGAACGGGGCTCGCGCGCGGCTCCCTAGTCCGGAGCCGTGTGGGGGTGGGGGGCATCACTGCCCGGTCCGGACCCGGTGGCGGGAGGCCCGCGGGGAGGCCGGCCCGTCGGGCGACCTCCCCGGCCCCGGGGGCAGGCTCGCGTCTCCTGGGGTGCGGCCCCCTGCGCGCCCCCGCCGCCCTCCCACACGCGTTCAGACGCCAGATCCCGCGGGGTCCTGGGACTCTGAGACCTTCGCGCCATCCCTAGGGACCGACGCCGCGGCCAGGTGGCCGAGCCCGGCGCAGCCGGGGAGGCGCCTCCGCGCCCGCCTCACACCGGCGCGGGGCGGTGGGGGGCGGAGCTAGACGGCCGCCGCCTGGCCCCGGGGACCGGCCCCCCGCGCCCCTGGCCTCCTCCGCGCCCCCCGCGCCCCTAGCTCAGTGCTCATGCGCGCGGCCGGCCTTTATAGCGGCCGCGGGAGCCGAGCTCTCCGCACTCAGGCGCAGCCGGGCGGATCCCACGCAGGTGCGGCGCCTCGGGCGGCGGGCTAGGGCTGAGGACCGCTGACGCCGGTCAGTCGCATCCTCCCTTGTAGCTCCCGGCTTGTCTGTTTGCATACTGGCGTCGTTGCCCTCCCGGGTCCGGGCGTGCACATCGATTTTGGATTTGGCTCGCTTGGCAGCCGAAGCGCCGCGTGCAGATCTAGAGGGGTGCTGGCCCCGGGCTGCAGCGCTCCGGTCTCCTCCACACCCTCGGGCGCCCCTGAGTGTCCCAGGGGTGCGGGCGGTCTCAGTGTGCTGAGGACGCGGGACCTCCGCCTCTGCCTCCCCCAAGCCTGCCTCGCGTTCTCCCTCTCCCCAGGTCGGAGCAGCCCCTCGGCCACCATGTCTGCAGCCTGGATCCCGGCTTTCTGCCTTGGTGGGTCCGCGTCCCTCCCCGACCCCGGCCCCTGGCGCCGAGCGAGGTGGAGGCTGGAGCCAAACCACGCGCTTCCCTGTCTTGGCAGGTGTGTGTCTGCTGCTACTGCCGGAGCCCGCGGGCAGCGAGGGACCCGGTGAGTTGAGGGTTCCACGGGCGGTCCGGGCGCTCGGAGGGGCGGAGGACCGGCAGGTAGTAGCGGGGTTCAGATCGAGCACCCCAGACTTTGGCCCGAGGGCCGGAGATACTGGGCGCGAAGGTTGGAACCACTGCCTGGCGCAGCCGGTCTTCTCGGGTCTACCTGTTTCTCCTGCGGGAGGGGACTTCTGGGGTCCAATGGGGACGTTCTTCCCAAGACATAGAGAAGAAGGCCTCTTCTCTTGCCCACCGCCACCCCCGGACCCCCCCCTCAAGCAAGCCGAGCTCCAGCAGGGGAGGTCGAGGCCCAAGTATTTCTTGAGCTCCATGGAGGGGCCCCCTAGTCCCCGGTGGTCGGAATTCGGACTCAGCGGCGAGTGCAGGAGGCTGCCGTCGTAGTCCAGCCTTGCTCGACCCGATAGCTGTGTTTCTAGGTGTAATCCCTCTAAATTTACATGCGAGAAAGTCTACAAAGTTTGTTCCACGTGTAAAGGTCCGGGTATGGGTGTGTTTTCTACAATATAAAAGGCAACCTCTTTCTAAAATCAACTTTTGTTTTCCTTGAAAGTAGAAATAAAGATAAGTATCGCGCCCACCCGGCTGCATCCCTCACCCTCGCCCCCAGTCGCATCAGCGTTAGTAAAGGTGGTCAGTCTACCCCGAATTCCGAGGCCACCCCTCCCTCAGCCCAAGATGGGAAGAAGGATTAAGGCTGTCTGAAATAGGCTACTGTTTGGGGTAAGGATGCTAACTTCTCCAGCCGCTTGGAGTGTTTCAGCGCTAAGAAAAGGGCACTGTACCTGGATCCTTCTTTACTTTCCACGGAGTGCTCAGGCCCAGGTACAACTTAACCCAAAGCGTACAGAAGAGGGTCCTGTTAGAGGTGAACTACTCAAGTGGGCGATATGACCGGGAATAGTCTTCTGCCTTGGAAAAAAAATTTTTTTCATTAACATCGGTTTCAGGAAGGTTTGGCTAACCACAATTTCCACATGCTTGGAAAAGAGTGTTTAGTAATGCGAATCCTAATTTAATATCCACCGTAAATTGACAAATTAACATGTTGTATTTCGTTATCTTGTTACTTTGCCAAGGGTTCATCTCTTCCTAGCATCTTTTGCAGTAAAAACTTTCTTTATTAGTTAGGGCAACAGTGTAAAACTTGAAAATACTAAAGTGCTTTCTAAAAATGCATTCACTCCCTGATATATCTCTTTGGACAGATCTGGAGCAGAAATAATCAGGTTCAATTACGATAAAAAGTGCTCTATTCTAAAGGGACTAACTTCCCTTTTTCCTGTCATTCGGGAGTTGTAGAATGTTCCTTGGGCAAATTAATCTTGTGGCTTTAATTTCCTCATCTATAAAATGAACGATGAGGTAAACCAGGTTCTGTGAATCTAAGCGTCTTTTTACTGGTTTGCTTGTTAAGTTCCCATGTGCTTTTCACGGCTCTGCCTTTGTAGGGTAACTGGGATGAACAGTCTGATGAAGGAAAGGATGGCTTAGATTTTTCATGAGTCTAGGAAAATGTTCCACAAAGACTCAGTCCAGATTCCCTGCCTTCACCTTGGGCAACTGGCTTCACAGTGTCATCAGAGTTGAGACTTGTATCCAGAATGATTAATGTGCAAGGACTACTGTTATTTTCTAGTTCTGATACATTTCCAATTACATATTTCCAAACTGTTTACCAACTGAGAAAATGCTCACGTATTAGACTTTTATAGTGGTTGGGAACTAGATTAAATTAGAAAACCAGCTTGTGGCTTGCTAACATCTGGAATGGTATAGAATATTCTTAAAGTCAGTATTCTTAACTACAAGTGTATAAATCAGGAAAGTAAAACTTAAATCTCATACTCTGCTTTCCCCGTCACTATACCCAAAGAAGTCCCAAGGATGCTTAGTACAGTCCCTCCTTTCTCTTCAGTTCCTATTCCCATCACATGCTTTACCAGAGGCTTGGACATCAGGAAAGAGAAAGCAGACGTCCTGTGCCCAGGGGGCTGCTCTCTCGAGGAGTTCTCTGTGTTTGGGAACATAGTGTATGCTTCTGTATCGAGCATATGTGGGGCTGCTGTGCACAGGTAAGCCGGAGCATGTGAGGGTGGGGTGAGGGGATTCAAGCATGATCATTTCTTTTCCTGTTTTAGCCGTTTAGATCCTCTTTCTCTTCCCATTTTTTATTCTGGTGTCAATTTTGACCATAGAAGATGAATACATTTTTAAGGTTTTCCTGGATATCTTTGAAACATAAACATACATGGGAAACTTTCTGATTAAAGACACATTGCATTACTTTTTGATGACTAGATTCCTATGATTCTAAAACATTCCTGATTATGTCGTATCTTACTGAGTTGTTACTGTGTGCCAGCCATAGTTTTAACTTCCACCACAGCTCTACAAGGTAGGTACAATTTTATTCCACTTTACAGATAAAGAAACTGAATTCAGAGAGTTGTTAGGTATCTTGTCCAAGGTCTCTTTGGGGGGCAAATACCATGCTATTCTGAGTAGAATAGCCACTGTGATAATTTTTTTTTTTTGGAGACAGAGTCTCATTATGTCGCCCTTGGTAGAGTACTGTAGTGTCACAGTTCACAGCAACCTCAAACTCTTGGGCTTACGCAATTCTTTTGCCTCAGAGGTCTCCCAAGTAGCTGGGACTACAGGTGCCCGCCATAATGCCCAGCTATTTTTTTGTTGCAGTTGTCATTGTTGCTTATCTGGCCCGGGCTGGGTTCAAACCCACCAGCCTTGGTGTATGTGGCAGGTGCCATAACCACTGTGCTATGGGCACTGAGCCCATTTTGATAATTTTTTTTTAATGTAGTTGAAAGGCATTTAAAGTGAGTATCTTTGGAAAATTGATGTTCTTTTATTAATTTTGAATCACTGAGTTATAGGGGACAGAATACTGCAAATATGTTCTTGTCAACACTTAAAAAGTTTGACAGCACAAAACCGTTTCCCCAGGGAGACTTTGTTCCTGTGTAAGCAAGTTTTTAAAAGGCTAGCAGCATCCTTAGAGGACTTCCCTGCTGAGCTGTTTTCTTGATTACTCAAAGCAATAGATGCAGCATGGCACTGTAAGTCAGTTGGATGCCCTGGTAAAATGTGGAGAGTGTCTCAGCTGTTATTCTTGGGTTTCAGGGGAGTCATCAGCAGCAACTCAGGGGGACCTGTGCGAGTCTATAGCCTACCAGGTCGAGAAAACTATTCCTCAGTAGATGCCAATGGCATCCGGTCTCAGACGCTTTCCAGATGGTCTGCTTCTTTCACAGTGACTAGTAGGTACAATTACGTTGTTCCCTTTTGGATAAATATTGTCCCCTACCCCTCAAAAAAGTGTTTTTGCTTTTCTTAGTTCACCCTCTCTAACTCTGATGGAAAAACCCGGATCAAGACTGGAGAGGTCAACTATGGGTGTGACCCGCTCAAGCCAAATTTGGGTGAATGGGGAAAAAACAAACTTTCATAGTGTTGTGACGGCAATAGAAATTAGAAATGTCTGCAGTCAGAATAACCGGGCACGGCTCGGCGCCTATAGCTCAACTGGCTAAGGTGCCAGCCACGTACACCTAAGGTGGTGGGTTCGAATCCCCAGCCCGGACCCGCCAAACAACAATGACGGCTGCAACCAAAAAATAGCCG